GCTGGCCAGGATGTGGAGAAAAGGGATCACTGTTGGTGGGATTACAGACCGGTGCAGCAACTATGGAAAACAGCATGGAGTTTTCTCAAAATATTAAAAATTGAACTGCCTTTTGACCCAGCGATCCCACTTCTGAGTACATATTCTAAGAATCCCAAAACACTAATCAGAAAGAATATATGCACCCCTATGTTCACAGCAGCATTATTTACAATAGCTAAGATCTGGAAACAGCTCAAGTGTCCATCAGTAGATGAGTGGATAAAAATGCTGTGGTACATATACACAATGGAATACTACACAGCTGTAAAAAAGAAAGAACTCTTACCCTTTGAGAGAGCATGGATGTACCTGAAGATAAGTGAAATAGTCAGAGAAAGATAAACACCATATGATCTCACTAATATGTGGAATCTAATCAACAAAATAAACACAAACAAAAGAGAATCAGAGGCATGGACACATGGAACAGACTGACAAACGTTAGAGAAGAGGTGGGTGGAAGGAACTGGATAAAAGAAGGTGAAGGGATTAGCTAAAGAACATACATGCATAGCCCATGGACACAGACAATAGAATGGTGAGGGCAAAGGGGGGAGGGGGCTGAGTGGAGGTGACAAAGTGGGGGGAAATGGGATACATCTATAATAGTGTTAACAATTTTAAAAAGTTGTAGACTTACAGCTCACTTCCCCTGAAATAGTCCAGCCTGTAGAACATGAACTAAAGTCCATGTTTGTTACTCTCTACTTTTTCCTTTTGAGTAAAATGACATAGAACGAAATCCCAAGAGTGTTTTCTTTGAGCTTTTACAAATGTATTCACCTTGTAATTTAAATGTCTAAGATTGCAGAACATTTTCATCACTCCAGAAAGCCCTTTCATGGTCCTTCCTGGAAAATCCCTGCCTCTGCTCCCAGACAACTGTTGTGCCATGTTTTTTCTTATTTAGAATAGTTTTGCCTGTTCTAGAACTTCATATAAATGGGCTCCTAGAGTCTATACTATTTTGTGAATGGTTGCTTCCACTCAGCCTAAGTATTTTCAGAATCCTCCATGTCCAGAGACCCTGACCTCTTGTTCTCTTTTGCATGCCATTGCCTGATGTATAACAAGCTAATAAGTTCTCAGGAAATGTTTATGGATAAGAAAAATGATTGCATTGAATGAATGCAAATGATTTGATTGCATGAATAAATGATTGAAATCGCTTCTTGTTCCCAGGAGACTTGATCTCTCTCCTATCCAGCTTCTCTTGCCCACCTCCTCCTTGGTCTTGGTTCAGGGGGCTGTAGTTCCAAATAGTAGAGACATCCCCACTTCTTGCTTCCCAAGTCCCCCAGTTTCCCATGAAAACACGTTGTCAGGCACATGTTACCACCAGCTTCCAGCCTTCTCATTATCTGTTTCAACTTCCAGCTTTATTTCCTTTCCTCCTGCTCTTCGCTAGATAAACCCCCTCCGCCTGGCTCTAGAACTGCTAAAATCCCTCCTGGGCCACCCTGGCCAGTTTTGCTCTGTTGGCCCGTGAACCAGACAGGCCCGGCTTCGGTTCCCGCTAAGGGCACATACCTCGGTTGCAGTTTGTCCCTGGCCCTTGTTGGGGTTGTGTGGGTGGCGGCCACTCCATGTTGATGTTTATCTCTCTCTCTTTCTCCCTCTCTCCCTCCTGCTCTTTCTGAAAATAAATGCAAAAATGTCCTCAGGTGAGGATAAAAAAATACATAAAATTAAACAAACAAACAAACAAACAAACAAAATCCCTCCTGGATCAAAAATTCCCTTCCTGAGCAACCAGAGCCCTGAAACATTGCTGTTGATGGCCAAAATGGGGCAACCATTTTGGAAAATGGCTTGGCAGTTTCTTGTAAAAGTTAAATACTCATGTACAATCTGACCCACTACCAGGTATTTACCCAAGAGAAGTGAAAACTCAGAGCCATAAAAAGATCTGTACAAGAATGTTCAAAGCAGTTTAAGTCATAGTAATTTACACAGATAGTGGTTCAGCCACACAATGGAAGATGAGCCAACAATGAAAGGGAACAAACTATGAATACACACAGCAGTATGAATGAATCTCAAATATATTATGCCTAGAGAAAGAATCTAGGCATAAGGGGCAACATATGGTGTGATTCAATTTATATGACATTTGAGAAAAGACAAGTCTAGCCAATAGTGATAATAGCAGATATTGGTGGTCTGGGGCAGGGGTGGGGAAGGGACTTGAGGGGATGATGGAAACATTTTATACCTGGAATGTAATGGTGGCTACACAGCTGTATATACTCTTCTCAAAACTTTGACTTGGAGCTTGAAATGGGTGCATTAAAATGTAAAACATTTTGACTTCTGGTCAAGATGGTGGCGTAGGTAAACGTGGTATCGGGTCCTCCCACAACCACATCAAAGTTACAACTAAACTACAGAACAACCATCATTCAAAACCACCTGAAATCAAACTGAATGGAAGTCCTACAACTACGGAATTAAAGAGGCCACATCGAGACTGGCTCCAGTATGGGGCAGGCAGCTTGAAAGGCTCCAGAGACATATGGGGAAGAACTGAGTTGTTTGGCATTGGAGGGAGGGCTGGAGAGGCAGCTTTCTCCTGGACAGACATGCTGTGGGAAGCCATTGTTCCTTTGGTGAGCCCTTCCCTGGGCCGCCATATCTTGGATTCCAGCAACCTGGCTCACAAGGTTTGCCCCGCCCTGGTGATTCCCTGAGGCCCTACCCACCCAACTTTCAGGCCCACCCAAGCTGTTGCCAGTTGCTTTACCATAGGATTGGCCTGTCTTGGTTCCTGCTTCAGGTTTTCCTAAATTCTTTCAAACAAACAGCATCTGGTCTCAGCTAGCCCCATACCTCTCATTAAGTAATACGTAGAAACAAACACAGGGAGGCAGCCAAAATGAGGAGACAAAGAAACAGGTCCCAAATGAAAGAACAGAAAAAACAAAACTCCAGGAAAAGAACTAAGCAAAATGGAGATAAGCAACCTAACAGATGCTGAGTTCAAAACACTGCTTATAAGGATGCTCAATGAACTTAGTGAGAACCTCAGTGAACTTAGTAAGGGCCTCAAGAGCATAAAAAAAGACCAGTCAGAAATGAAGGAGGCACTAACTGAAATAAAGAATAATGTACACAGATTCAATAGTAAAGTAGGTAAAACCAAGAAGTAAACCATTGATCTGGAATATAAGGAAGCAAAAAACACCCAATCAGAATAGGAAAAATAAATAAGAATCCAAAAAAAATGAGGATAATGTAAGGAGCCTCTGGGATAACTTCAAGCATGCCAACATTTGCATCTTGGTGCCAGAAGGAGAAGAGAGAGAACAAGAAATCAAAAACCTATTTGAAACAATAATGGCAGAAAACTTCCCTAACTTGGTGAAGGAAACAGACATATAAGTCCAGAAAGCACAGAGTCCTAAACAAGGTGAACCCCAAGAGGCCCACACCAAGACACATCATCATCAAGATGCAAAAGGTTCAAGACAAAGAGAGAATCTTAAAAGTAACAAGAGAAAAGCAGTTAGTTACCTACAAGGGAGTTCCCATAAGACTGTCAGCTGATTTCGCAAAAGAATTTTGCAGGCCAGAAGGGAGTGGCAAGAAATATTCAGAGTGATGAAAAGCAAGAACCTACAACCAAGATTACTCTATTCTGCAAAGCTGTCATTTAGAATTGATGGCCATATAAAGAGTTTTCCAGACAAGGAAAAGCTAAAGGAGTTAATCACCACCAAACCATCATTATATGAAATGTTGAAGGGTCTTCTTGAAGAAAAAGATAAAATATATGAACAAACAAAATGGCAATGAATACATATCTATTGACAATTGAATCTACAAACAAAATGAACAGGCAGAACAGAAACATTCTCATAGATACAGAGAACATTTTGTTGGTTGCCAGATGGGAGGGAGGTTGAGGGAATGGGTGAAAAAGGTGAGGGGATTAAGAAGTACACATTGGGCCCTGGCCGGTTTGGCTCAGTGGTTGGAGCGTTGACCTGCGGTACAGAGAGACCTGGGTTCGGTTCCCGCTAAGGGCACGAACCTCGGTTGCAGTTTGTCCCCGGCCCTGGTTGGTCGTGCGGGTGGCAACCACTCGATGTGTCCCTTCACATCGATGTTTCTCTCTCTCTCTCTTCCTCTCTCTCCCTCCCACTCTATCTGAACAAAAAATGGAAAAATGTCCTCGGGTGAGGATAAAAAAAAAAAGAAGTACACATTGATTGTTAGACTGACACACCTCAAAAGGAAGGGGGGTTGGGGAGTGGGAAGAAATAAACCAAAAAAAAAAGTAAGCCCTGGCTGGTTTGGCTCAGCGGTTGAGCATTGGCCTGTGGACCAGAGAGTCCCAGGTTTGGTTCCCGCTAGGGGCATATACAAAAAAATAAAATAAAATTTAAAAAAAAGTAAAACATTTAATTGTGGTATAAAATACACGTAACATAAAATTTACATCTTAATCTTTCTCCTATTTTTTTTTTTTTAGAGAGTGGAAGGGAGGGAGGGAGGAGGAGGGAGAGAAACATTGATGTGAGAGACACATCCATTGGTTGCCTCCTGCATGCGCCCTGACTCCCCAACCAGGGCAGGGGATTGAACCTGCAATTCTTCCATGTGTGGGCCAGGGCTTATCTTAACCATTATTATGTAGATAGTTCAGGCCCTGGCCGGTGTGGCTCAGTGGTGAGAATGTCCTCATGTGCACCAAAGAGTCAAGAGTTTGATTCTCAGCCAGGGCACATACCCAGGTAGTGGATTCAATCCCCAGTCACGTTAAGTATATTCACATTGTTGAGCATCCAATCCCTAGAAGTTTTTTATCTTGCAAAACTGAAATTCTATACTCATTAAATAACTCCCCATATCTCCCTCTCCTGCCCCAGGTGCTGGCACCCCCATTCTACTTTTTGTTTCTATGAGTTTGACTAGGTACATTAAGTAAATGAAATAACACAGTGCTTGTCCTTTTGTGACTGGTTTATTTCACATAACAACAGAGACTTGGCAGATGTGATTGATGATTTAGAGATGGGTGTTAAGTGTTAAAGAATTTGATGGGTCTTTGTGCCTGTTTTTTGGCAAGAAGCATCTAAAACCTTGGCATTTTCCAAGTGATAGGAGTGTCTTTGTTCTTGATGGGGACCCCTTGGCTCATACTGGAGTTTATACCAAGGAGATGGCTCAGGGTAGGGGATGGTCATGCCAGAAAAACCAACCATGAGGGGTGGCACTTCCAGCCACCCAACCTCCAGGGAGGGCAGTGGGCCTGAAGATGCAGTGCAGTTACATGACCAATGAGTCAATCAATCACAGTTTCATAATGAAACCCAATAAAAACTCTGGACACCAATGCCCAGAGGAACTTGAAAACTGGTGATCACACTGAAGTGCCAGGATGGTGACCTGTCCTGAGTCCATGGAAGCTTTTTAAGACCCTCCCAGCCCTCACTCTATGGGTCTCTTCATTTGGCTGGTCTGAATTTGTTTCTTTATAATAACACTTTAAGTATAGAGCTTTCCTGAGTTGAGACATTCTAGCAAATTATAGAACCAGAGGGGATTGTGAGATCCTCTGAATTTGTATCAGTTGGTCAGAATCAATTGGTTATTTGCATAAATACAAGAGTATCAATAAATTAAATGGATTGAATAGGTTTTCTCCAATTTTACTTTACTGGAATGTTACTCATTCATAAGGAATCTTTAGATCTAGCTTCAGTGCAGGGCTACTCACTGGGTTTGGGGGCATCATAGAGCCATGAGGTCACTTAAAGAGGTTAGGGTCTCTGGAATAAAACTTAGAAAAGCTCCCCACATATTCACACTCAGCCCCAGGCAGGGGTCAGGGACCCAGCTAGTGCACCCTGGGGCACAGGAAGGTGGGGTCAGATCAAAGGGCCCAGGAGCCAAGATTTTGGAAGTAATGTGTTAGGTCTGTGTGGGAGAGCTTGTGGTGAGGTTGAAGAGGAGGTCCCACAGCACAGGCACTGGATCGGCTGAGTTGGGCGTGTAGTTCTTAGTAGCGGTGGGTGGAGAAAAAAAGATCTATGATGGTGGGCGGACCCAGGAGGGTGAGTAGCTGGGTGTAATCGCAGCGGTGGGTGTGGCTGAGGGCTACTGAGTGGGCTCAACAGCTGAGCCTCTTCTCGCAGATCCAGTTGTCCCTCTCATTGTGGCAAGGGGCATCGTTCCATGACCCTGAGCGTAGCATCATGATGCAGTCCTCGTGCCCCTGAGAGTCATTGGGTTCTCCCAGGTTCCAGTAACTACAGCGGTTTGGCGGAGGAGGTGGGGGGTGTTACTGGAGATCTAGGCTGGGGTCCACCCTTCAGGGTCTAGCCTGTTTATTGCTGGGGTCTATTCTAGACATCTGAGAGCCTAACTTAAGCATGCACCTGGGATATAACTTTCTAACCCCTAGAATTTATCTCGCAGTCAGATCCTGGTGGCTAGACTGCCCATTCCTAAGGAGTCCTTGAGATCTGTCCAAAGGATTGCCCATAAGGTCTGACCTCTCCCCTTCCCCAAATCCCTTTCCTCACCTGAAGCTGAGCGGGACTCCGTCAACCCACTGATAGCCCTGGACCTTGCTCGCGCGGCGCACGGCCCTCAGGCCCAGCCAGTAACCGAGGCCCCGTGTATTCCGAGTCAAGAAGCCCTGGATGGAAGGGGAGACAGCTCACCGAGTTCATCCCGCCCTCACATACCTCCTGGGCCATGCCCGCTCAGGTGAACTCCGCCTTGGGCTCGGACGCCCAGGCTGCGCACCTGCTCATCCAGGTCCCCGACAATCACCAGGTGCGCACCCGCGCCCGCACAGTGGCGCTGTGCCTCTTCCCATGTGGCCTGCAGCACCGAGAAAAGGTAGCAGGAACCCCGGAAGGGCAGCCACGACGTGGGGCACTGTTCGCAGGAACCTGTGAGACGACAGAGGTCAGTGAGGCAGACTGCCCCCAGGTGGAGCAGATGGAGGGGACTGGGAGGCGCAGGGGCAGAACCATCGCAAACAGATCAAGGTCAAAGGACTGATCTGGGCGGATCAGGGAACAACGTGGCCCACGGGTAGGGTCTACTTATCTCCACCATCCCCTCCCCCATCCTGTCCTGCTCACTATTTCCAAGTCGGACGGCCTCCAACTCCCGGAACAGCTCACTGCGAATGTCCTCGCGGTCCCTTCCCGCTTCAGCCAAGCTCTGGGTCACTGCGAGGTCAAGGGAGTCCAGATTGTAGCTGGGGTCAAGGTCAGGAGTAGGGTTGCGATTAAGTAAAGGGCAGCATCTATATCCGTGGTCAGTGTTACGGTCAAGAATATCACGGTCATGGACTTTTATAGTTGGGTAAAGTCCCCTTGTGTTTGGGGTTAAGAGTTGTAGTCAAGGACAGAGTCCAAGGGGGAGGGGCAGGAGCAGGATGGGAGACAGGATCAGGGTTAGAGGTCAAAATCATAGGATAGGGTCTGGGTCACAGAGGGATCAGGATGTAAATCAAGGGTCGAGGGGACTTGTATGGTGAGGGATCAGGGGTCGTGTCAGTGTCCCACCCTCACCGCGCTCGCTCAGTTCTTTCAAGGAACTCTCCAGCTGGATCAGCTTTACATGCACCTCCTCAAACGTCGTGCCTGCGGTCTTCAGCTGTGCCTGCGTCCTCAGGCCTGGGAAGAGGGCGGGGATGGGGTGAAACATCTGAGACCTCCTCCAATCCTGGCTACAAGACCCACCCCAAGTTCACAAGACCCTCCCAAGCCCAAAGGCCCCGCCTCTGAGCCCACAAGTCTCACAGCAGCTGTTGCAGGCTCCGACCTCTTGCTTCAGGGCATCCAGCACTACTGTCTGCTTCGAGGCTGAAACGACACCCATCCGACACCCACACGCCAAGTCACCTGCAGGGACTCACGGGGACACCCTTCCCCACTCCGGGCCTGCCCCGGGGACCCTGAGGTACCCACCCACCTACTCACAAACCCTGGAGCCCCCGGTCTCCACGCACCGTTTGTTCTCAGCAGGTCCTGGCCGCCGAGCAACGCCTCATGCTGGCTGGAGGCTGAGGAGAGAGGTTCCTGCAGGCGCGGCTCTGGGAACTCGGGAACTCTCCCCTAGCCCGAGGGGTGCGGGGACCCTCGTCTTGGGACGCACAGAGCAGAGCGGATGGGCAGGAGTACATATCCCAGGCGCCAAGGAGAGACAAGCATACAGGGCCATGCACACACATTCTTGCATGTACATGCACACTCACGTGCGTGCATACAGCCTGAAGATGCACACAAACCCTGTTCACACGTGTTCACACTCAGCCCCAGGCAGTGACCCCAGCTGGTGCGCCCTGGGGCAGAGGGAAGAAACTAAGCAGGGGGTTGGGTGGGGGAGGACTGAGACACACTCTCCCCAATATACACGATCACTCACCCTTGGAAAGTAGGATGCTCAGAATGAGGGCCCACAGTACTGTGGTGACCAGGAGAGCCAGGGTCAGGAGGAGGAATCGCCTTCCCCAGCATCCCCAGTGCCCTTGGATAACAAAGGACTCATGGGTCTTTCCTGTACCAGGACAGTCCTGGATCCCTGAGCCCCCGGAACTGAGCCCTGGGTGCTTGGGTCCTAGGAAACTGGGATTCAAAGAAGTTAAGTAATTGGCCTATGGTAGCCCTTAAGAGACAGAGCTGAAATTTGAATCTATGTCCAGTTGGCTCTAGAGCCTGTGGTGTCTCTCGTGCACCCAGGACTTGTTCCCTGTATTGGCTGTTCTCCTCCCTTCTCCAATCAAACCCCAAATCAGAGGGACCCAAGGGGGTCAGTGAGGCAGTCCCAGTGCTCGCTCATACCTCCAGGGATCTCCTCGAGGCTGCCACCCCATTTGCTGTAATCAGTAGTGTCCATGGTAAGCAGGCTTTCAGCTCTGGGCAACGATATAAATGTAGCCCCTCCCTCACCCTGCCCCGCCTCCTCTCTCTTCCTTCCTTTCAATTCCTGGTACCAAGGACCTATTGTTCAATCACAGGGCTGGGCCCTTTCTGGGCTGAGCTAGGGGGTAAGGGTGAAGTGGGGTAGGGGAAGTGAGAGAGTGGGGCAGGGTAAAAATAGGGTGGAGAGAGTGGAGGGAGATGAGCAGTGGAGTGTGAGCACTTGCTGACTCATGTGTGTGTGTGTATCTGTGCACAGTATCAGTCTCCCTGGGCTGGTAGCTGCAGCAACATCTCCAGGTTAGTGCTGGAGGCTTCGCTTTGGAGCCAGCCTCCCACTTCTTAGAGATCTGAGGCTGGGCTTCCTCCCAAGAGGGACAGACTGAACATGTCCAAGTTCCAGCCCTGCCTCAGGATCCCTGAGAAAGTTTCCTCAGGCTTGGACTCCTGGGCTAGCTCAGCTTCACTCCTTAACTGTCCCACAGATGGCTACCAGAGGCTGACCCTTAATTCAATCCTGGGTCAGAAGGGAGAACACAGATGATCAGCTAAGCTTCTGTACTCAACTCTTGAGTGGGTGGGTGGAGGGGTATATGTATGTAGCTTCTAGAAGCCTCAATTGTTCTTCTCTGTGCAAAGGGGGACAGTAACAGGGCCTCTCTCCAAGGAATACTGTGATAAAGAAATGAGGTTATGGCGTGCATGTGGCCACTGTCCTGCTGAGGGTGGATTTGCTGGGTTAGCTTCGAGTCAAGGTGAGGACCCTGAGAGGGAACTAAAAAACCACACCCTCGCCCTGGCCGGTTTGGCTCAGCGGTTAGAGCGTCGGCCTGCGGTCCGGAGAGACCCGGGTTCGGATCCCGTTAAGGGCACGTACTTCGGTTGCACTTTGTCCCCGGCCCTGGTTGGTCGTGCGGGTGGCAGCCACTCGATGTGTCCCTTCATGTCGATGTTTCTCTCTCTCTCTCCCTCCCACTCTATCTGTACAAAAAATGGAAAAATGTCCTCAGGTGAGGATAAAAAAAAAACAACAAAAAACAAAACCACACCCTTCCCATAATGAAGACCTTGGATTGGGATCCTGCGTGGAACAACCTACCATAAGACCTCAAACAGCTTGCAACAGCCCCCTGTCTTGGGAGAACACATTAGGTCAGGTGCCCAAATCACCTGTCCATTGGCCCACACGCCTGTCTACTGTCCTGAACAACAGTCATCATGCCTTGTGGTCGCAAGGGTAAGCTCTGTGCTCGTGAGAAATGCAGCTATAACAGAACTGAGAGCCAAGGTGCTAAGAGTGATCAAGCCACTACAGAAAAGGAAGGAGAGGCTGCTTGCTCTCCTGTCCTCTTTTGGGGGATGCTCCCTCAAGCTCCCCTGGAGCTGGCACTCTCCAGGTGCCTCCAAGTGCCCCAGGCACCACTACAACCACTGCAGGTGCTTCATGCAAAAGATCTGCTGTAAAAGCCAAAAGCCAGGTTCAGAAAAATAAAAAATCCTCCAGAGCCTCAACTTCTACTGAGGGCTCTGGCCAAGGTCTTCTAACTCAGAAGGCAACTATATAGGGTACCTGCTGGATCAATATAAAAGGAAGGAGCTCATTAAAAAGGCAGACATGCTGAAGATAGTGCACAAATGGTTCAGGAAGGACTTCCCTGATATCCTCAGGAAAGTCTCTGAGCACATGGATCTGGTTTATGGCCTCAAATTGAAAGAAGTCAAGCCCAATGGTAACTCCTACACCCTTATTGACTATCAAGATGACACCAGCAATGGTAGTCTGAGCAGTGGCTTCAGATTTCCTAAAAAAGGGATTCTGATGCCTTACCTGTGTGTGATCTTGAATGGCAACCGTGCCTCTGAGGAGGATATCTGGGAATTCTTGAATATGATGGAAAGATTCACTTCATTTTTGGGGCACCCAGGAAGCTTATCACCCAAGATTTGGTGCAAGAAAAATACCTGATATACTGGCAGGTGCCCAGCAGTGATCCTCCATGCTGAGTTCCTGTGGGGCCCAAGATCCCAAACTGAGACCAACAAGATGTAAGTCCTGCAATTTTTGGCCAAGCTCAATGATTCCATCCCCACTGCCTTTGTACCCCATTACGAAGAGGCTTTGAAAGATGAGGAAGAGAGAACCCAAACTAGAGCCCAAGCTGTACCCATGGCTGACACTCCGTCCAAGGCCAATGGGCGCTCCCAGGCCACAACCAGCTACAACCCTCACCATCAGTGATGTTGAGGTGGAGTCTCCACTTTTTGGACAGAAAGTCCTGTTAAGCAGTCCTAATATGCAAAATATCTTCTTGGCTTATATGTGCATGGATTTATTTTTTCTCGCATTTTCAAGTGGTGTTCTTTTAGATAAGATGTTTATTTAGATCCAGAATATAATGACATGGATCACACATTTATAGCCCTTTATTGGGCAAGGAGTAAGAGTTTTGTTTTGGAAATAGAAATAGGAAATCCTTTGATCACTTTTGTGATCCAGAACAGGATAAAATGGCGTTGGGATAGGAAAATCTTTGAGATGTGAAAGAACTGTACCCTAAAACAGTTGGGAACAGTAGATAGATAGATATATAGATGGATAAATAGATAAAGTAAAAATTGGACACTTCTGTTTTAATTTTTTAACTACAGTTGACATACAATATTATATTCTTATAGGTGTACAACATAGTGATTACACTTTTATATAACTAAGATGTGCCAACCCTCATATGACCAGTACAATCTGAACCATACATAGTTGTTGCAATGTTATTGACTATATTCCCTATCCTGTGCTCAGCATTATTTGTTACAGTCAAGACATAGAAGTGTTCATCTGTACATGAATGGTTAAAGATGGGGTACTGAGATAACACCAATCACTTCTTGTTTGCCTTAGTACATTTAGTCTTTTGTTTTGTAAATTTATAAGATATGTACCTGGATTTGCTTATGTTTTTCAAGAATATTTGAGAATATAAATCCTAGTGCATCATAAAAAAAAAAGAAATGAGGTTATGCCCTGGCCAGTTTGACCCAGTGGTTAGAATGTCAGCCAAATGGACTGAAGGGTTCAAGTCCTGATCAAAAGCTGGTAACCTGGGTTGCAGTTCGATCCCCGGCCCTGGTTGGGGTTGTGCAGGGGTGAGGGTGGGGGGGAGGGATAGGGGCAACCAATCGATGTGTCTCTCTCACATTGATTCAATATTTCTTTCTCTCCTCCCTCCCTTCCACTCTAAAAATCAATGGAAAAATATCCTCGGGTGAGGATTTTAAAAAAAAAAGGAAATGAAGTTATGCATATTAAGGCCTAATTCCATTTCCAGGCACAAAACCCACTAAATGTTAATTAATCCTTTCAAAAACACTGAACACTTCCCATGTTCCAGCATCGATCTGGAAACTGGGCATGGTCTGATTGTGGGGCAAAGGTGCAATGGCCACCTTAATGAGAATTTAACTTCAGACTGAAGAACAAAGCAGGCAACTCCATAGACTATAACAGAATTTATTATAGGGTGATATACATATGGGGAGATTGGGCTGGAGCAGAACAGATGGCTCAGCAGTTTGTGCAGATTATTTTTTACTACCAAACCCCTGTTACTGTGCATTTATATAGTATAAATGAGGTACTTATAATGATTGACAAGACAAAGGGACAAAGAATACAGTAGTGCCAGGGGCCATTCTTTCAAGTGGTCTTGTGATGGATGGTTGTTTATTTATTTTTATTAAAAAAAATTTTTTTTATTTATTGATTTTTAGAGAGAGAGGAAGGGAGAGGGAGAGAGCGACAGAAACATCAATGAAAGAGAACATCGACTGGCTGCCTCCAATATGTCCCCCACTGGGGATCGGGCCTACAACCTGGGCATGTGCCCTTACCAGGAATTGAACCAGTGACCTCTTGGTGTATGGGTCGACGCTCAACCGCTGAGTCACATCGGCTGGGCGATGGTTGTTTAAATTGATACTATCACCAGTTTGACTATCTCAATTGTCATGCCATTCTGGCCATTATTAACAAAAATAGTCATGGCTACATTTTAAGGAATACAGATAATCAACTAGAAGGTTTGATATGCTTGCTAAGGATAGTGAGGTTAGTCACAGTATGAAACTTTGAAATGAAATCTGGACACAGAGATGGAGTTGGTTTTGTTAACATTTACATCTATACTGGCATACATCAATGCCCAAACCAGCAAAGTCGTTCCTTGGAGCAAACGTTCTAGTAAGGGGTAAAGAGAGACAGATAGTAAATGATGAACATAATGAAAAAGTAAGTTGTATAAATAGTGATTCTCAGCTGGGGATGATTTTGCCCCCCAGGGGACATTGGGCCATGTGTGGAGACATTTGTAGTTGTCACAAGTTTGGGGTGGGTGAGTGGTGATACTGACATCTAGTGGGTGGAGATCAAGGATGCTGCTCAAAACCAGCCCCCAATGCTGAAGGTGAGAACGCTAATATAAGATATTAAAAAGTTCTTAAGTACTATGGAAGAAAATGTCAAGAAGGATAAAGGACTTTGGAGTACTGGGCTGGGGCAGTGGTCAATAAATTTAATGACCAGTCTCAATAAATTGAATGAGAAGGTAAAATGTTGTTTTGATCCAGCACTTCCTATGTTCCAGCTTTTCTCTCTCTCTCTTTTTTTTAAAATTGAAAATATACCCCACCTTCTCAAATCCTCTCAACAACAATCAGAAATAACAAAAATTATCCACATTTTATTTAAACTTTTTATTCGATGCCTATTTTCCTGCCTTGTTCCAGAAAGGAATGAGAGAGACATGCACAATAAAATAGGATAAAAAGACGAGAATTTTTTTAAAAAAGGAAGGCAAAGATGAAATCAGGTCAGGAAGGAAACTTGAATCTAAAAGACTAGGCTGGGGCAAAGTTCAGACAGAGGTGCTGGGCTTGTGACAAACACAGACTCCCTTTGTTGCAGCAGAAGATTGGGTTCAGACACCTGGAGAATGGCAGACA